TGCTGCTTTCAGCTTTAACTGTTTAGTTTAGAAGGTGGGACATAACAAGTTTGTATCCTTCTACCAGTATGTTCCAATCATGGGTTTCATCCCACCAAGTTTCTGTTATTCCAACTATATCATATCTACCTTCACGTATTCGTAGTTCGAGATCACCCTGTTTGTTCCCCAGATTTTGTGCATTTGTATATAGGCCCTTGAGATCTTGATGTCTGACACTGTGTTTACTGTCTCCATAACCTGTGTTGTGCCTGCCTGCCCCTACTTTCTTGCCACCTGTTTGATTAATGCACATGGTATGGCACTCACTATTAAATGCTTGGTTTTGGTTGACAGCAAGGTTGATAATCTTACCTGCATAAACATCTATTTTGCATGCACTGGTATTCTTATTAATTTTAGCTTGCTGGGGACAGAAATGTTCTGTATCCATTAATTCTCTGTCCCTGCTGTTCAGTTTAAATGTTTATCCAGGAAATCTGTGAATTTAATTCCAAGTAACTCAGTCCCTTTCTTTGATGAATGCAAACCATCTCTTTTGTACAGTTTTTCATTGGACCAGTTGCAGACATCATGACTAATAAAACCAAAGCTTTCCCTTTTACACCACTCCTTTAGCCACACATTTGTCTCTTGGGTAAAAATCCATTTTGATCTGGATGTATAAATTGATTTTAAAACCATTTTAGTCTTTCTGCAACTATTGAAACATATATTTTATAATCTGCATTCAATAAGGATATCAGCCTACAATTTTTTATCTGTTGTGAATCTGAATCTCCTTTTGGTATGAGATTGAAGTATGCTTCTGTCTATGAATTTGGTACTTTCACTTCTAACAATACTTCATGAAACACTTCCAACATTGGCATACTTAAAGTATTTTGTAAGTCTTTGTAAAGTTCTGCTGGTTGACCACCTGGGCCCAGTGTTTTATTCCGGGGTCACCAATCGTTTGGACTTCAGGGACCACCAAACCCATAATTTTAAATCCCGTGAACCAGACACCCTGGGAAAATCCCAAAAAAAGTCTGCAGGAAAATTCCCCACCCTGTTTTCCTACTGATTGATCATTCTTTATTTGGGATCACAGGATAACATCTCCAGCTCTGTTCTCAGGGGGAGAGAGAGAGACTTTTGGCTTCATGCAAGAAAAGCACCAGAAGCCTTTCTTTCTCTCCCCCAAACTCTGTCAGAAATAAGTCTTTGTGAGACTTGTCGCACCAGCACAGCCTCTTGGAATAGGATGCCTTGACGGTCCCAAAGACTCATTTCTGGTGGAGTTTGGGGGGAGAGAAAGAAAGACTTTTGCTGCTTTCCTTGCATGCAGCCAAAAGCAGAAGAAGAAAGAAGCAGAAAGAAGCAGCCCGGTGGCCAGGCGAGGCACGTGGGGTGCGTGGGGCAAGTTCCCCCCTCTGCCCTTCCCCCCCTCACTATCTCGTGTTGTCCACAATGCAAGCAACGCAAGCCTTGTGTTCCCTTGGGCCACGTGGACGGCACAGCCTTGTGTTCCCATGCAGCCTGGATTAATTGCTTTGGGGGGTACTTTAGGGGTGACATTTTTCTGCTGACCACCAAAATTTTCTCACGGACCACCAGTGGTCCCCGGCTCACTGTTTGACCACTGTTTTTACTATTCTTTAGTCTATTAATTGTTTCTGTTAATTCCATCATTGTTATGCATTCATCTAACTTGGCTTTCACTGTTTCAGGTATTTTAGGTAATTTCACTTTTTAAAATTATTGTTTTATTTTATCTCCTGAAACTGTCTCTTGGTCATATAATTTTCCATAGTAGTTTTACTATGTAGTTTCACTTTCTTTTCACAGTAACTTTGCATAGTAGTTTCACTTTCTTTTTATCAACATTTTGATGGTAAAGGTTTACTTCCTCATTCATTAATTGATATATCAGGTTTTTTTCTTTCTCCTTTTTCAATTTGTATGCTAGCCATCTTTTTGGTTTATTTGCATTTTCAAAAAAGTTTTGTTTAGCATTTTTAATTTTTTGTGCTAATTATTCTTTATCTGTTATATTCAACTTGTGTTTTATTAATTCATTTGATTTTTTAAAATATTTTTTGTGGTTCTTTTTGTAGTTCTGTCACTAGCCTCTTGCATTCTTCTTCTAATGTCTTTTGGTTTTGTTTCTTATTATTATTTTTCTTTTCATATAAGTTATCTCTGATGCATGCATTAGCTGTATCCCATACATTTTGTAATGAGGTCTCTTCTTTACTATTCCCTTTAAAGAAAAAGTCTAGACTCTAGTTCTTTTTCCATGAATTGAATAAATTCCTTGTCTTTTAATATTGATTGGTTCAATATCCATCTTAATTTTATTTTTTGTCCTTCCATTTGACTTTTATTGGATTGTGGTCTACCCAATTACTTGTTTCTATGTTTAGTCCTTGTACATTAGATTTTAATTCAGCTCACATCCATATCATATCTATTCTTGACCAAGCCTATTTGAATAGAATGAGTATTGCTTTTCCTTAAGATGTATCTCTCGCCATACATCTTGGATACCTAGTGCTTCTGCCATTTTAAAGAAAGCTTTTGGAAGTGTTTTCCAAGCTTTTTTATTTACTTTCCTGGTTTTATAATCTAGTTCCATGTCTACAATTAACAGATAACAGATAATCAGAGTTGGAAGGGACCTTGTAGGTCATCTAGTCCAACCTCCCACCCAAGCGGGAGACCCTACACCATTTCTGACAAATGGCAGTCCAATCTCTTCTTGAAAGTCTCAAGTATGGTGCTCCCACAATTTCTGAAGGCAAGCTGTTCCATTGGTTGATTGTTCTTACTGTCAGAAAGTAAGAAATAACCTTATTTCCAGATTAAATCTCTCCTTGTTCAGTTTAATTGCATTAAAGTCACCTACTATACATATATTTTCATACTCCAATTATATTATTTGTAGATATAATATTTCACACTGATATACTGACTCACAATGTAAACATAATAGTGTAGATATAATAGACTGATATATTAGTTCTACTAGCAACTTCTTAAGGTGTGTGTGTGCATAAGTGCACCAGTGTGCCTACCATCCCTATCTTACTGTCCCCATTTATCTGTATTTACTTCCTTTTTTCATGTTTATGTTCATACCTATACTTGTCATCTTGTTTATCTTTGACAAAAATATAAATAAACTGCTTTTTTACTATTGATTTGGGCAGTTGGCAATTTCACCAAATATTCAGTTTTAATCAATTTGAGGAAATGCATCTGTGTTAAATTGGGAAGATGGCCTCAAAATAGTATCATTGTACTGAGCCATGTATCAGACTTTACCTTCAGCACTTTCCCCTGCTCTTTGGTTATTACTCATGTTTGTTTAAAATTAAAGCCTTTGGAATAATAATTGTGGCACTTCAAGCAAATAAGGCATATGTTCCAACAAAATGTTATGTTTTGATCATTTAAAAATGAGGGCTTTTTTAAATGAAGCCATGTGGACAATGAGTCAGTCAGTGATTATTGTATGCAAAGTTATTTTGAATTGTGTCAAAGTTAAAAATACATTAAAAGATAATCCTGTTGCTGATTTATTACTTTATTCTTGCTACTATATTCCTCAGTTTTAATTTTAGTTTGAGTTGACATTTAAGGAGAAAAATGCAAAAGTTTTTGTTGTCCATCAAAATTAGGTAATTAAATATAATGGATTTATTTGAAATATTTTCAAATGGAAATTAGAACAGAATATGCTTTCTCTCCATTTGTCCAATTAATATAACACAATATTATAATTTTGTGCCTATTTATTCAGGGATAATATTGTCATCCATGCTTGTAAACAATGCAAACAATAGAGGCATACCACAAATTCTTATGTATGGGTATTCTAAGAAATATATTTTATTTACTTTCTTATCAAATTTATGCATCACATCTCACCTAAGTGATGCTGCAGTTTACAAATAAAAATATTTAGTTTTGCAGCAGTAAACATAAAGTTTTTAGGTATAATACTTTTGCATATGAAAATGTAATTTGAAGCAACTCCACTTACTATCCATTTGTAATTTGTTTTATTGTATAATTTTATCTAATTTTGATTCCTTGACAACTCTGAACAGCTTTTACACAAAAAAATAAAAACAACATATGTAACTAAAAATAAATGCTGACCAGTTGGAAGAATAATACAATACATACCATGTCAAAGTATATTCATGAACTGGAATAGAGCATGGTAACAAGGTCAGCCAATGAATAGGCATTGCAACTACATCAGCCAATGAGAACTGTTTGGAAACTGAAACTAGAAGTAGTCTAGGCATGGCTCTATATTAAGCTCTGCAACTCTGAAGCTATGTTGAAGCTCTGAGTCTTCTATTGAAAATGAAACTGCTTCTCTCCTCTGCTGTGTATAATGCTTGCTACTGAAGTTACTTGCAACATGTTTCTGTCTGAGTTTGTTCCATGTTGGAAAAATCTACAACTGGTTTGTAAAATCTACTTATTATGTTTATAAAGAGGTTAAATGAGTCATCAGCCATCTGTGTTTATTTTTTTTGAGCTGAAGTAATGCTGCAAAACTCTGAACACACCAGCCATGGGCAAACATGACTGGGTATAACTAAAGGTCTACAGCTACCCTGACCTAAAGAC